GTGCGTCTCTTCTTGATCACCTACCGCGGGAGGAAATGCCGAGAAGGCGGCATAACTTACTGACGTTGCGAAAATGAGGGTTACCAATAACAAGCCAACCGTGCGTTGGGTTCCCCAAACGGAACGCATGGCCAGAAATGTACCTCCGCACCATGCGACACCAAGAAGTTGAAGCACTAATGCGCACGCAAAGGAAAGTCGCGTATTAAAGATCGCCGAGACCGCCATGGTGAACGTAATCGGTGTCACCATTTGTGGTCCCGTCAGGGCAACCGTCTCCAGGGGGCCGAACTTGTTTTGAAAGGAGAAAACGCGTTCAAATTCTCCTGATGGAATCATTCCAACAATGAGTCCAGAGATAACGATCCCTGCGGCAATGTAAACGACGGACCAACTCGTCACGATGCGTCCTGCCGCTACTGCCGTATTCCAAAGTCTAGTCGTTCCGTTGGCGACTTTAGGCACGGATTCGTACTCGCCACTGTCTCGATCGTCCGAGAATCGGCTGGCAACTTCTGCGATAACCAAGGCAAACAGGAAACCGATGATCAGGAAGACACCGCACTGCCAGATTGGTAGCACGCTAACGGCATAGAGGAGTGACAGTGGATTCAGCAGCGGAGCGATCAACCAAAGAACAGCCAAATCACGTCGAGGCATGCCACTATCAGAAAGCTCTTTGGCGACGGGAATGACGCCCAATGCACACAACGGAACGCAAAGGCAAATTGCTAAGATTCGGAAAGTTCGTTCGATGCTTCCTTCCGGTCCGAGCCACGGCCGCAAAGCTGAGTAGCCACCGGCGACACGGATCGCTGCAGCGCAGAGAACGCCGATCAGGATCGTGGCCGATGTTTCCACCAGAAGACGGACGATCGTTATCAATTGTGTAACGATCGCTTCTTCCAGGGAAAATGCGTGCAGCAAATTGGCAAAGTTCATGTTCAGTCTCGAGTGACAGGAACAGGGACGGTTTGAAGCATTTCGTCAATAAGTTCCGATGCGTCGTCGAACTCTCCGGCCAAGCGGACGTTCAATACAGGAAAAGCCATCTCTTGAATATCATCCGGGGTGACAAAGTCGCGACCGTTCAGGTGAGCCCAGGCCTGAGAAACACGCTGCAGCGTGAGAAGGCCACGCGGACTGACGCCAAGTGTGACTTCCGAAC